CCCGCGGGCTACAATTAAACTAAGAATATGTTCAACCATACTCGAGCTAAATGATTACGAACAAGAAAACCAAGGCAACCAAGGAATGAGATCTAAAGCATACAAGTTTGAACTGAAGAAAAAGAATCCGGTACAAATAGCAAAATTGGTATTTCATACTCTGAATATTTTTTACAAAGGCTAGAAAAGACGCAAACAAAAAAACGCACGAGTCTGCGGCAAAAAAAAAAGAAGAAAAAGAAAAACTGCTAATCGCCACCAGGCCCAGCAACGCCATCAGCCTGATCACCTAAGCCATCCCTATCTTCACCTTCACCATCACCATCGCCCTCAGGATGCTCGTCCTCATTCCAGGCATCCTCTTCAATCTGATCTACGCCCGCATACCCCTCATCATCACCGACCTACGGTGTAGCAGGATCAAAACCACAAGCGACCTGAGCTCCACGTGCCTTAACACGAGCATCCTCGAAGACGGCTTCTAAAACGGTTCCCGCCCTCATCAGATCTCTGAATATATCCAGTTGGGCCTAGGAGTAAATCCACTCCTTGTACAAATTCCGAGGAACATCAGGAAAATTATAAGTGCGGGAAGAGGACGGTCGGGCCAGTAATTGTGCCTTTTAGGCCTCAAGAGCGGCGACCCGATCACACAGGCCAGAGGCCTTTTTCTCTAATTCTCCAATCTGTTCATCAAGCCGCTCTTCTTTTAGTCTGGCCGTCTCCAAGGTGCTCTCTCGCTCGTAACGAAGAACACGAATTGCGATCTCCAAAGCCTCCGTCTTCCTCATAGCCCCCAACTGAGCTAACTTCGCCTTCTCGAGATCCGCTGCCTTCTCGGCGACCTCGCCACTTAAAGCATCCGCTTTGAATTCACACTCCTCGAACTCGGCACGCAGCGAGACCACTTGGGCTTGGAGATCTCCGCACTGGGCTTCGACCGCCCTACTAACCTCTAACTCCTCTTCTTTATCCCTTAGCGCCCCCTCAAGAACGCTGCATTTTTCGATGACCCTTACCAGCTCGTCATCCTTTTCCTTCAGCTCGTCTCGGAGAGCTTGTAAATTGCCACCCTCACTAAACCGCCTACAAATCTCGCGGTACTTGCCACGGTACTCACGGTATTTTCGCTCCATCTTCAGATAAATAGCCTTACGCCTCTCCTCTCTTCGGGCACTTTCAATTTCCAAAATCACAGTCTAAAAACGAAGAGTAAGAACGAAGCATAAACTTTGAACTTGACAAACAAAAACGAAAGAAGTCGAAAAGCTTACCCTGAGAGCGAGGCCGGCTATGCTCCTAGATAAGGTAGTGTCATCCAGCTTTTCAAGGGTTTTATCCTCCACGTCGGAACAGAGGGGACCAAGGGAAGGAACCACGTTCTCCGTATTAACCAAAATATCTCGATCCATGGGGATCACAATGGTCCGCGTGGATCCCTCCAATCTTACTTTGAGTCAGGTAAATCCATCCCCCATCATCCTCACCTCATCGGTGTCAGCATCAGAGCCCGTCTCGTAACCATCCTCGGCAACGCTCTTTCCTTTCTTGTCGGCCAGTGAAGGAGGACCCTCAACCGGTCGCGAGGCCGATGGCTCATCTTGCCACAAAATATCAGGGACTCTCATCGATGGCCCTTCAGCTTCCATCGTGGCTTCGGGAAAGGACATGCCCTCAGCCGATGGCGGAATCTCGGACGGCAACTCGACGTCGTCTCCAAGCACTATTGTCGCCGTCCCTCGAATGACAAAGTCGCCCCTTGCTGAATCCATAGCCCTGACGATCCCGTCACTGACATCAACCGACCTTCTCTTACGGGGAACTAAATTCCCACCGCTCGACGACGACTCTTCCTCCTCATCTACTAGACGATACAAAAGGGAAGCCGGAAGCTCTGTTGCCGATATGTCCGCATGCGGAGAAGAAACTGATGCTGAGGCAGCAGAAGGTGGGGTCGACGACCGAGCAGACCTGGCCGCGGTGGAAGAAGGAACATAAGTAGATGATCGGGCAGGCCTAGCCGCGGTCACGATGGGAATAGACTCCGAAGAAGAATCAGCCTTCCTCCTACGAAACGTAAGAGAAGGAGCCCTTGGCCTCCTCGAAGATCCTCGAACTGAAAAGGAATAAAGGTTATCATTACCAAGAATAAAACTGCAATGAGTAAGCGACCATGAGGTCGAGATGGCAAAATTTGTACAGATGAACTCACTGGCCAAGGAAGAAGCAGGCCCGACCTTCTTGAGAAAGCTCGGCCATTCACGAATCCCCACAATGTGAGGCAGAACACGGCCAACCCAGTTCGAAATATCCTCAACCAAAGGAGGGGGCGTAGTCTTGGTTGTACGAAGAATGAACAAAATGTCAGAATCGGCGACCAAAACAAATCAAGTGCTTTAACAAAGAAAAAAGAAAAAAGATACTTACGAGTGTAATTCCAAGTCTTAGGGAAGCCATCCGTGTTTGGCACCACGTCTTCGGTTCTGACAAAAAAGTAGTTGAACCAGAAGTGACGATTTGCCTTGTCGTCCATCTTCACTACCAGGCATTTACTTCCTCGATGATGAAGGTGCAACATCGTCCCCCTGTAGAAGCTAGGGGCGAAGAGATGCATCAGATGGCAGAGTGAGACCTCGACCCCGGCCAATTCCGCAAACTTTGTGAGCATCCTAATAAGCTTGTAGATGTATGGAGATAGTTGGGCCGGGCAAACACCATAGTAGCGGCAAAATTCCTCCGCCAACGGGAGAAGGGGAAGAGTATAGCTAACATGGAAAGGATATGCATAGAACGCGCAATACCCAGGGCGGGGAATTTGTACCATATCGCGCCCTGCTGGGACTAGATCGATGTGGGCAGGAATGTTGAATTTTTGCCTAAGCTCAGTCAAATCGATCTCTTTCATCGCTGACTCTGAAACCTCGGGCTTGCCTTCGAAAAGTCAGACCTTACTTTCTCACTACGGGGAATTATTTCTTCCGCCATGGGAAAATTCTCATCTTCAATGGCGACAGAGACTCCATCAGCGCGAGGGGGCATAAGCACTACTAAGGGGACATGGTCAATTCTCGCACTAGAACCAGAGGATACATTAACCATATTTCTCTTTCTTGAAAGAGGATATTCATGCAAGGAAGTATGAGAAGCAACGAGAATCGCTAAAACCATTAGGGAAGATATGCATCAAGGGAAGAAGAAGAAGGCACAATGTTCTTTATGAAAAAAATAAGGAGCAAACGAACGTCGTTGCACCTCTCTTTATAAGGATTCAGGCACCAAAACCAAGAGACTATGCCATCATTACCTGGCACTGGAGTCGAAACGGCAGCCCCCAACTGACAGTCGCACGAGAAACGACGCGGAGCATCGGGAAAATGCGTCATAATGACGCATGACGTCGTGACGTCATTTTGGTACAAAAGTGACACAACCCCAAAAGATGCAGTTCACGAAAGGTCACAATGTCATCTCATCCAAAACGTCACTGCTCGACTCGCTCGCCCAAATTTTGCCAACCGCAGTAAACAGAATCCGCTTATTAAGGTCACCTGGGGTCGGCCTTAATAAGCGGAGGGACTAACTATATGGGTCAAAATTGCCTCAGTACTTGGGATTAAGCAGTATCGAGAAAAGAGTCGGCCGAGGTCGACCAGGAGATGACCAAGCCCGTGGTCGAGATGTGGAAGATGGTCGATGTCAAGCACCGTAAACAGAGCTGTAACGACTAGTTTATTAGGGCAGGATATTAAAGAGAATATTTTATTGGATATTCTCTACTATTAGTGCTCATTGGGGGTATGTCCCATATAAATAGCAAAAAAAATAATGAATAGAGGCATGTGATATTCATTGTGATAAGAGCAAACTTTACAAAAGATTCTCTCCCTCTTTGAAAAGATACAAAGAACATCTTTTTATCAAGATTCGTGTTTACATTATCCTGCACTTTTCCATGAGAAGATTTCGAATGTTCTAAGATCTGTCTGTCATTCATCATTGTCATGAGGAATAATCACCTAGCTCATTATTTATTGGGTGAATCGCACCTCATATTTACTCAAATGTCATTTATTGCTATTTATTATTAGTCCTTCTTCCATTATTGCTTTTATTTTATGACTATTTAATGCTTGTTATTGTAAGCCCTCTAGATCTGTCCCACCTCACATACGCTTTCAAAACTCGCATCTAGAGATATTATCATTAACTAGGTTTAACCCATTATTACACAAATATAATAGTTTTAGCCGAAAATTATACTTTTTGGTCAAACAGACATATTTTGGTGCGAATGTCACACTCACTGATTTTTATAATCATCTAACTGATCTCATATTAGTACACCATAGTTTATGGGGTAATCTAATTACCAACCACATTGTAGGACCATCACAAAAAATATTTCTGCTAGCGCAACTAGAAGCAAAAATCAGTAATTCACTGTGCTGTCTTGTTAACAAGAGCTCTACCAGTTCCTCCCTGTCTATAATGGGTCTGGTTCCCAGAATGAACAAATTATAGTCAACCAGTTAGAGTAGAGGGCTATCTTTTTGGATCTCTTTCCCATCTACATGCGGAAGAAGGTCAGACAACATAGGCTGTAGCAATAGTGGAGTGGACCATGTATCCACTACTGCAAATTGGTTCATCTGTTGTAATGAATAGATATGCTGATAATAGCATCCACTCAGTAAGCAAAAAAGAAGAAGATATATTCCCATTTAGAAAGCCATCACAAATGTCATAAGTTGATGGCATCATTATCCATCACCATCAATCTCACTTAAAACAGGTCTAACTTGTTATTATATGAGAATTGATTCCAAAATTGATGGATGGTGCAGAGCGCACAATAATTTCTGGGAGCAACAGATACCACTGTTAATATAGGGTAACACTTAACAGTTTGTAAAGTAGAAATATTTTTCAAGCTAATATTTGTGTAGGAGTTCTATTGTATAAGGGGGGTTAAGTGTATGATCTTGAAATACAAGGGATGTATTCTGCATTTGACTCATATTAGAAGGGTGCTCGGAATAATTTACCAGACTATATATATAGAAACTCGTTACATTCCATGTATAGAGTCAGCTCTTCTTAAAAGATGACTAAAATTCCCTCTTTCCTCCTTAAATTGCTACTTGTCTTGATATTTGCTGGATGGTTATCACTTTGGCTTCTCAAGCCCACGCAACTATGGACTAAAAGTTGGAAAATTGCAGAAGCAAAGGCATCAACCTCATTCTTAACCCAAGCTGGTGAGGTTCTGAATTCCAAACTCAAATTATTTTAGATGTATAGGTTTAACTTCAAACTCACCATTTACCTGTACAAGAAATGTTAATGTAATGTCCTGTTCAATGTTAATCCCCTCCAAAATACTGAATGTTTTTTTTTCTTCCTTTTGAGGTCCTGCAGGTCTTAATTTTGCAGTCTACACCTTTCCTGTTATTGCTATAGCTATAGTAGGTTTTATGTACTTGGAACTGAAACAAAAGGAACCAACCAGCAGGTATGCTTTTTACCTGCAGTATATATATAAGCATACTAATGTTTAATATAGGCTCTTTCATGCAAACATGTGCTGAATTTGGTTGCAGGAAAGGAAGATCTTCACTATCTGTTCTTTCCAATCCACTAGTTGTGAATAGGTATATAGGAATTCTGTCTGGGTTTGAAATCCTTGTTGTATCTCTATTCGTCATCTTTCTAGCATGGACATTCTACGCTCGTATCTCCAGTGACTTCAAGAAGATGATACCAATTAAATCATTTACTTTGCCCGTGTAAGTATATTCCTATATTCCCATGCAAATATTATAGCATCATTTTCAAAACAATTATCAGAGTACTCTCTGATAATATTTTCCAACTCCGCCATTTCCAGATGGCAATACAGAATCTTTAGAGTCGCGACAAGGTGTGGTTTATTAGCAGAAGCCTGCCTAGCTCTTCTTCTTCTTCCCATCTTGAGGGGGATGTCAATATTTCGATTACTTGGCATCCAATTTGAAGCTTCCGTGAGATATCACATTTGGCTTGGGACAGCAATGATATTATTTGCCACTTTACATGGTGGAGGTACTTTTCTAATCTGGGGTATGAAACATCGCATTGGAGATGAGGTAACCTCATGTAATCATTTGAACATTACTTCCTTTTTCAATTTAGTTTGAACATATGTATCTAAGCTTTGTTACTAAGTCCTTTTTTGTGGAAAATTATAGATGTGGAGATGGCAAAAGGTAGGGCGTATTTACCTTGCTGGGGAGATCAGTCTTGTTACAGGATTGGTCATCTGGATCACATCACTTCCACAGATCAGAAGGAAACGATTCGAGATCTTCTATTATACACATCATTTGTACATAGTGTTCATACTATTTTTCCTGCTTCACGCTGGAGATCGCCACTTTTACATGGTTTTCCCTGGCATTTTTTTGTTTTGCCTTGACAAGATACTCCGAATAATTCAATCAAGGCCAGAAACGTATATTCTTTCTGCTCGAATCTTCCCTTCCAAAGCCATAGAGTTGACACTGCCAAAAGATCCAAGTACAAAATCAGTAATCTCTCTCCAATTTAACAGCTTAGGTGCTTTCTTAATTCTTGACTGGGCCTAAATAAAACCTACTTAACATACTATTTCAGGGTTGAAGTATACACCAACAAGTGTGATTTATGTCAAGATTCCAAGGATTTCAAATTTTCAATGGCATCCTTTTAGCATAACTTCTAGCTCCAAAGTTGATAAAGACACGATCTCTATTTTGATCAAAGCTGAGGGACGGTGGACCAGCACTCTCTATAATATGCTACGTTCAAAGCCTGATGCAGAAGCTGATGGAATGAGGTTTTTTCACGTAGCAACAGAAGGCCCTTATGGACCTTCATCACTGGATTTTCTAAGGTAAAGGAAATGATGTTATTTCATGTTTGATTTTAGACCAAGTTATCTATCATATTTTCCCCGTATATAATTATTTGTTGAATCTTCTGCAGATATGATAGTCTACTTCTAGTTGCAGGTGGAATTGGGGTTACACCATTTTTTAGCATTCTGCAAGAAATTGCCCCAGCAAGAAGTAACAAAAATGTATCACCTGTAAAAGTACAGCTTGTCTACACCATAAAAGATTCCCAAAGCATCTGCTTGTTAGATCCAGTTCTACCGCACGCTTTTGATGCAGAACAAAGTTATCTAAAACTGAAAGTGTTTGTCACGCGGGAACACCAATCCAATAGATCCCTACGTGAAGTGCTAGTTGAGGTCTCTAAAATACAAACCATTCATCTCGCCAACAAGCGTTCTGGTCATGCAGTATATGGACTTGAGAACTTGCGATGGATGGCCGTCCTCCTTTTGTTGGCATCTATCATTTTTCTAGCATTCCTTAGCATCTTCAACCATATTATTATCAGGCCTAATAAAAAGTCAGCTGAACAAAAAACTGCCTCCTCAATAGTGGACCTTCTTCTCATATGCTCATTTGCATTAGCACTAATATCCAGCACCTTAGTGGCTACCTTATGGAGATGGAAGAGGCTAAGTGAAGAAATTCCACCATTTTCTGAAAAAGAAAGAAAACCAATGAAACCAACAGAATCAAACAGAGGTTTTGATCAACATGAAATCCATTTTGGAGCAAGGCCAAACTTTAAAGGTATGTGCCAAATACATTCATGTCCTTGTTTTAACTTCAAACAATCCAATCGATTGGCATTCTAATATGTCGAAAATTAAACAGATATATTTTCCCAGTTTGCTAATGAATCCAAGGGATCCAACATTGGTGTCTTCGTTTGTGGGCCTGAGACAATGAAAGAGTCCGTAGCTATAACTTGCCATCAATATTCCCAGACTTCCCAAAGCAGAGGACAAGAACAAAAGCCATCCTTCAGCTTTCAGTCGTTAAATTTCACTCTGTAATAGTCTTTGTGAACATTGGTCGAACACATTGTCTACAATGAACTAAATAAAGTCTTTGGCCTTTATAATCAAGTAGTATCAACAAAGTACAGGTTCCAAGGGATATCACAGAGGTTTTGACCAAAGAAAACCAATGAAACCAACAGAATCAAACAGAGGTTTTGATCAACATGGGTTCCAAGGGATATCACATCCATTAACACATCTTGCATTTTGAGTGTAACCATATATGATAAAATAAAATATAAAACAAAACGGAAGTGTACCGGAGATGAATTGTAAATTGTGAAAGCAAAAACAAAAAGTTTAGTAGTCTGTCAGAGAGCCAAGACACCACCCCAGACCTACGAGAGGCCTGAGAACGATCCTCTACTGCGCAGAGGCCCAAGAGCCACCAAAGCTGTCAATCACGCTCTAGTCTCATGGCCACACTTCATCAACCAGACTTGGTTTTCTGTCTCCTTAGAACTCAAGGATACAGTGGTACGAGCCTATAGAACAGATCCTGTTCAAGTAAGGTCGTGCCCAATGGTTTCTGTAGATAGCCTTTTAAATGGTTAATTGGGAATTTCAACTAGCGATGTGGTATAACGAAAGAGGGGCTTCATTCGCTTATAACAGACCGTATCATTAACTAGCAAAACCAATGAGATCTGCTCAGATTTTCCCATCAAGTAACTGACAAACTGAGTAGAAGAAAAAGTTTACTTTGTCGTTCTTGGTTTTTACGGAACACAATCAATTGCTGGACATGGAGCATTAATTTTAATTAAAATCATCCCAAAAGTTAGGCTCCATAACATTTCTTATTATTACACCGTTTTGTTTTACGTTACCATTTCAAAGGTCAAGTCAAACCAAAACCCACCACCTCTCCCCCAAGATTTAATAGGCGTTTAGCCATAAGTTTTGGAATTTTTTTTCAAAAAAAAAATTTCATATATATATTTGTTTATAGAATTAATCTTGTGTTCAGGAGATTTTGAAAATCAAAACTTCAAATCCCAAATATAGCTTAAAACCTCTTTTTGGGCCAAATCATGACACCATTTGGAACTTTATGGGAAAAAAAAAAAAAAAAGACTTTTTACCAGGTCAAAACTTGCTCCAAAATTCATATTCAAACACACTTTTAATTTCAAATCAAACTTCACTCAAATCAGCTTTTTCAAAATATATTTGGGAATCTATATTCAAACGGGTCCTTCGACCAGGGAAAAGGTTTAAAGTTTTTACCCCTAAAATATGCGAAATCACTGATAAAAAATGTCGTCCATTAATCATTACCCCTAAAATATGCGAAATCATTACCCTTGTAGTAACCTTTGACGCATATAGACATTCGAAAATTGCCACGGCTAGTTTTAGGTTGTGCATAAGCATGGCTGTTTGATTATCTGAGTAATGGTTGTGGTCTCTCTTTCACAGTAACGAGTTTGAATTGCACATGCATAATTATTTGCAACTGATGCTAAGTTTAGAGTTCAATAGCTTGTACGAAGAATACAAAAAATCAATCCTTAACCGATAATACCGGCATTTTCTACAACAAAGAAAGAAAAAATGCAATACAATATCTACACAGCCGATAGTAGTTCCGATTCTTGCGACAAGTACTTATCTCCTTCCTCACTTGCACTACTGCTTCTATCTTTCATGCTGCTGACAGTAGGTGTTAATTCAGCTAGCAATTCATTTTGTGTTGCCTCCACATTCTCACCTAGCAATACAGCAACCACCTCTCTCATAGTAGGTCGTCGGAGAGGATCCGGGTGACAACAAGTTAAGCCTAGTTTCAACATAGCTTCCATTTCGTCCTCCGAATACTGCCCCTTAATCCTATCATCTGCGGCCTCACACAATCTCCCTTCCCTGTACTTTTGTCTAACCCAATCAATCAACACTTCCTCTTCCTCCACCACAAACCTTGTGTCAATCGGCCTTCGCCCACACGCCACCTCCAACACCACCACCCCAAAACTATAAACATCACTAGCTGCAGTTGGTGTAGCCCTTGTCACAACTTCAGGTGCCAAGTACCCTAATGTACCTACCACTCTAGTTGTATTTGGCACACCACCATGAGTATACAACTTTGCTAGCCCAAAATCACCCAATCTCCCTCTCATTTCACTATCTAACAAAACATTGCTAGATTTAATATCCCTATGTACAACCACTTGTTCCCAACCATGATGTAAATAGTTCAAACCCTCGGCAACATCAGCTAGGACCCTCCTCCTGTCTACCCAATTCATAACCTTCTCTGGCTTATCAAATATCCATTTATTCAGACTTCCATTAGGCATATAATCATACACAATCATAAGTTCATTCCCTTTCCTACACCACCCTCTCATTTGTACTAAATTCTTGTGTTGAAGCCTCCCGATAGTCGATATCTCAGCCATGAATTCCCTAATCCCTTGCCTTGAGTCATGGTTCACACACTTCACCGCCACTTCTGTGTTATTAGATAGTGTTCCTTTGTATACTTTACCAAATCCACCAGCCCCAAGTAGCTCATCTTTAGAAAAACCTTTTGTAGCTTGGTTAAGCTCTTCATATGAAAATCTATGAGGCCAATACTCGAGTTCCCAATCTTCAATTACATCCTCTTCCTCCTTACCCCTCCTCTTCCACCAAACCCAATAAAATACACACAAACAACCTAACACAGCCACTACACAACCAATTACAATTCCAGCAATAGAGCCGGGAGATAACGAAGACGTCGAATTTTCCAGCTGAAAAATAGGCAAATTCGTAGTATTAATATCCCTTGCAACTCCAGAATCACTGAAACTCCAAGCTAAAACTCTTTGTGCCTCAATCCATTGAGTCTTGGAAGCAGAGAACCCAACAAACATATCAGCAGACGTGTAATTTGCAATTATGGGTTTTTTATAACTTAACATAGTCCTAACGGGCCGTGACATACCAGCAGGAGCTATAGTAACATTAATCTCGAATTCAGGCCCATTGAAATCGATCCAAACATGAATATTTTGTCCACTTCGCATATTTAAAGGCACGAAAGAATCACTAGCATTACCAGAAGAATTATAATATCCAGCCGTTTGAGTAACGACAGATTCGATGCTGTTAAGATCAATCCCGACATGGTTTCTATCCGGATCATTGAATTCCGGGTTACGACCCGTATCAAACTCGACGGCGAGAAGTGGGGCGACGGTATGAACGGTGGCGTTAGTGAAAAGTCCAAAGTATTGGCTGGAGAGAGCGTTAGGTGGGGAAGTGGAAGCTGAAAGAACAAAAGCAAGGCCGAAACCGGGACTAGAGGGATCATCGGGGAGAATAGAGAAGATGAATTGGGTAGAAAAAGAGGAGGAAATGGAAGTAGAATTGGAAGTGGATTTGATAGGAATTGGAGATGGGTAAAAAGCGCGGCCACGGGAAAATTGGTTAGAGTCGTTGGTAAGGCGGATTACTGGTGGCTCAAGGCGAGCATCGTCGATGAGGTTTAGAACTGGGGTGGAGTTGGCAGTAAAGGAATTGAAGAGAAATTCGAGAGCAGAAATACATGGGAAAATTGTAAGATTGATGAGAATGAATAGTAGTGGTAGCATATTTTTGGATTTGCATAAGAGGAGAAGAGAATTGTGGGAAGGAAACTGGGAAAGGTGTTGACGACGTAGTCCTTTGAAGGGAAGAGACTATCGCTGTTTCTGTGAAAATGATGAAGATGACTAAGCTCAAACATCCTTTGACTATGTCTAATTATCAAAATCAAATAAACAAATAAAATCAAATACAGCATTAACCCTTTGCACAGCTCCACAAAAGAACACCTACAAGAAGAAAAAGTCTCGTACAAGTTTGTTGTAAAATTCATATATTTACATACTGGTAGTTTCTTCTAGAATTTCATCTTTGCATAAAATTCGGTATTTATTTTTATTTAATATTTAATTTCGCAATAACTTTATGCATAATTAATTTATTCTCCTGTAATCAATATAATGTTTGGTCTCTAGCATAACATAAACGAGAATCTATCAATATTTTATATTAGATAAAATGTTACATATGAATACATGTATTAAAAATACTTGAATAAGAGTAATGAAAAATAATTTATTTTAAAATTAGACAATTCCTATATAATAATTCATGTCTTATTATTCATAACCTTCTTATGTATAACAATTACTTACTATATTATTATTTACTATATAAACAATTCCTACATTATAATAATCTCCATAAAATTAGACCGTAAATCAGACTGTCCATAGTCCAATGACAAAAACGCTTAGCTGTCATGCTCTTCACAAAATAATTAGTGATCAAGAATTTATAAATCGAATTTCAAATTGTAATAATGCGATTTAAAATTTCAGTTCTTATCCGTGGATATTTTCTACTCATTTTTTATGCCACCCTGTCGTAAGAAGGAGATCTTAATTATGTTCACCCAAATTAATTAATAGCATAACTAAAGAGTGGAAAAACCACTCACTGGCCATTGGCAGCTGCGACGGAAACATGTCACGTTTGGCTGCACCTCCCTTTTAGAAAAATTAACTGATAAGATTCTACAACGATTTGCAGACATTTGTGTTAGTAAATCTGTATTACTATAATAAATAAATAGAATATTAAATTTTTTAAAACAAAAGAAGAAACAGAAAATTAGTAGTAACAAAATGTCGAAATAATGAAGTTGAATTTGAAATATAATTTCGGAATAAAATCGAGTTCACTGAATGCACAGTGTGTTTTTAAAAAAATTATTCCCCTCAAGTATTCGAGGTACTGGAATATTATCCTCCTAGGATATAATGATTTAACTCACCAGAGTGTTGGTACCAAAAACACCGATGAAACAGCGAACCACTCGAAGGCTGTAAACCAACTAGAATTATAATTGTGCAGAAGAAGAAGAAGAAGTTCGTAAGGAAAGATTCTGGATCAAGGCATATTTATAGCCATTTTCTGGAACTGTTTCTGAAAATGTTTGCAACCTTTCAGAAACAGTCATGGCTATTGGAACATGTGGGAATGTTTCCGGTTTGAAATATTCCGAAAAAAATAATTTAAAATAATCC